AAGCTGCACTATGTCAACACTATTTTAATAGATTGTAGTTTTTTAAATATGGGAGTTGTGTGTTCATATTACCAACACCACAGACTATTCGTTATACTTTTTTTGGGATGTTATTATTTTTTGTAGATTTGTTGAGTACGTGTTTCCCCATATTTCGGAGCAGTAGTAAAGGTAAGGTAGAAATAGACTGTTATAAAGAGTATTTTTTCTTCAAGAATGTTCTTAGTATGATACAAAATACCTATTGTTTTTGACAGTTTAGTCTGTACTTCATTTATATGGTGCTTCCAATTGAGTTTTTCGTCAACAAGCAGTCCTAAAAATGTACATGCACCAACTTTTTCTTTCTCGGTATTGCAAATCCGTATAATGCATTAATTTCTACTCTCAGACTTTGTATTGAATAACATGTAATTTGTTTTTGCCACATTAAGGGATAATTTATTAACGGCAGACCAGTAACATAGTATTTCTGATTCTGCATTCAAAAAAAGATCGCCAAGATTATGATGGGAGCAGAGAATTCAAAGTTCAGGTTCAGCCTCAATATATTTAGGGAGAATTAAAATGAACCGTCTTTATTTGTAGACAGCCAAGCCCCCTCCTGTTGTGAAGCATTATATGCTTAAAAACCCAATGTAGGATATAAACACGACTAAACTGCAATGATAGCAAAGCTGTGGCTTGTGTTGTTGGGTTGATAAAGTTCAAATCATCGTTGGGCTGTCAGCCAATGAGTGACGTCTGAGGAAGATGAAAAATGTAAATTAAACATTGTTGAGAAAAGGCTGCATCTCTTGCATTTATTGACATAGAGGAGCCTTATTGTTTACCTTTTTAATATCATTTTTTGTAATTTTCAATTACTTGTTTTTCGTGAAATTAGCCTGTTTTCCTATTAAAGTGTAACAGATTGATGCATCTCCACAGATCATCTTAAAGGCTTCGGAATCCCCCCCATTGTAGTTAAAAACACACACTGTAAAAACTAGGGCCCCAAACAGCATCTTGCATAGGGCCCCCAAAAAGCTAGAAACGGCCCTGGTGTTACTGTCCCATAGTTTTTGCCATTGTTGCTTGATAACAACTTTTGTAACAGATTTGACTTCTGCTCTACTGATGGGTACCATAATATCAATCTGGTTTGCTTTCAAACCACATTTTGCCAGTTGATCAACTACCCCATTCCCTCTAATTCCCACATGCACTGAACCCACACAAATTGAACAACAATTCCCAAATGAACTAACCTAAACATGATGTGGAAAATGTCATGTAAAATATCCTGACGACATTCTGAAGATAAGTTGTTTATACTCTCCAGAGCTGCGCTGGAGTCAGAGCAAATTACTGTATTTCCTCTACCCACTGAAGTGCTTGTGAGATATCATCTCTACTGTATACTGTAATGTGATCACTCGTTCGCTTTCTCACTTTGACCTTTAATTCAGGAACATAAAATGCACAACTAGTTTGACAATTTTCTGGATTTTTGGATCCATCAGTAAATATTTGTATAAACTGCCCATATTGTTCATGTAGAACAGTGTTCAGGTAAGCCTGCACATTGATTTTACTTTTCATTGAATGTAACCTTTTCAACAAGGATACATCTACTACAGGTTGAGGTAGCAACCATGGTGGAACAGCTGATAACAACACCGACGGACTAATATTCCATTCTTTAACTTTGAATTCAATGTACCTGCCCGCGAAATATTGGACCAAAGAAACTCTGCTATAGTGTCAACTAAATCCATAGTATTACAACAAAAGTGCTTTAAACGAGGTAAGTTACGAATGTATGTTCTCAATCGCTAAATGCGGGATTGAATATTAAATTAGTTTAGATTAGATTTATTGTCCCCAGGGTGGAATTCATTTCCACAGCACTGTTGTGGTAATCTGTAGGCTATTATATAAACCGTATTGGTACAATGAGCAACATCTAGTGACGGATTTTGGAACATTGATTTGATTTGTCCCCAGGGGGAAATTCATTTTCACAGCGCTGTGAAAACAAACAATATGACATCAACAAAAAATAAAACAGACAACTACAGATAGCACCGCACATGATGGTTCCAGTTTATTATTTAGGGCTGCAATGCCTGTATGGATCAGGTTTTTGTCAAAGCGAGCCCTTTTACTAGAATAATAATAATATGTTATATCAACCGTATTGGTACAATGAGCGACGGATTTTGGAACATTGATGTGATTTTTCTCATGGCAGTTAGACTCTAGAGACAAAGGGACTTTATTTTTAATCTGTGTCTGTCCATTTGGTGTAGTATTTGATCCAATATTACATTTGGTTTATATATTAGTCACTTTCTTATGAAATGCCAGGTTTTAGGCCTTGATTTGAACATTCAATCCTGAAAATAAAAAATCAACCAGATTAATGTTTCTTTAATCCTGGCCTGACTAGAGGTAAGTACATATGTATAGGAAGACGAGTTAACGGATAGAGGAGAAAAGGTTATGGTATAATTACAGAGACTGTCAATTTATAAATTGAGGAAATCAATGTTTGTCTGTTAACCAAAGTGCAGCCATCTAATAATGTACTATCTATTATTAAAGATCAGAGGAAAAGAACGGAATGAGAAGCAAAGAGATTGTAGAGCAGTGAGAAGGAAAAAAGTCTGGTGTGTCAATTCATTACATTGCCACTATTTTTCGTTGTTGTGAAAAAAAAGTCATTTCATCCTGGAGCCGGGCCATTGTAGGCTACATGTGTGACTTCAAATGAACCGATACTGAAAATATTCTGCACATCACTAGGAAGGAGCCTAAGATGTTTACCCAATAACAGCTGCTGCCGTGAGTCACGTGATACCGGCCCGCGACGTCATTTTCTTGCGACTGCCTCCCTCTGACAGATCCATGTGAACCGCTTTGGTGAAAAGATTCTCTAAACTTCAGGTACGTTTTGTGTAAATATGATATCTGATGGCCCGATGAGTGAGTCCTGTCTTTATTCTACCTCACATTAAAGCTCAATGTTATGAATGGAAGCGCTGTGTGTGTTTTTAGAGCGTCTCTTCCTTTACGCGACAAGGTCAGCATTCAGTGTTACATGACCGAAGAAACGCACTGTCTGACTGTCAGCTCCATAACCTCACTTTTATAATGAAAAGCAATGTCGTTGTAGTCAACATTACAACAGTAGATATGAAGCTAACTTCATTTTAGTTACATATTTATGTTGTGCTCTCTTGTCTCTTAGACTCAATGGCCAGCCGCATCTTGGGCAGATATGCCCGTGTGCTCTGCAGGGCCTCCTCCCAGACTACAGCTGTTGCTGCCCGCCCCCCTCCACCTGTAGCTGGACCTGCAGGAGTGCAGAGGTCCCAAGGCTGGCCAAGAGTCACAGAAAGATTAATGTCCGAGGGAAGGACAGTTCCCAACGAAGACTCCTATCCTTTTGTACGCACCCATCTAGACAATTTGGTGGAGAAAGCAACAGTTCCAGAGGACGTGCTGCTGGCCTGGGAAAAGCATGGAAAGAATGGTAATCAAGCAGCATGTGCCCTGGTGAGGTGGTCTCGTTTGGCTCTAAGCACAGGGGACTTAAAGGAACCAAAACCAGAATTGCTAACAGATTCAAGGCTACTGGATATGATGGACACTGCATCTCGGCAGGTGAGGAAGCTAAATACCGAGTTGGACTGGCACTATTATCCTGTTTTGTAACTGACATTCAACCCTTTAGCTTGACTTCTAAGATAAATGACTAATTTATGTGTGTTGCTTTCTTCCAGGTTTCTACCATTTGGAATGGCAATCTAGTCTATTTCATGCGCACTCTTTGGATTTTTGGTTTGCCCTCTAATGACTTAGTACTCAACTCTGTCCAGACCGAGGTCCTGTGGCGAATACGCAGGCTAACATTAAAGCAGCTGAGCTTCCTGGCAATATGGGGAACAGGCAGGAAAGGGCCGCAGAATGTGGCAATAGCGAATGCTGCGTTAAAACAGCTGGAACTGCGCTGGACTGAAATTGCAGATGCGAAAACTGTCATTGCACTGATATCCAATGGAAAACACGTCTCATCCACCTTGATAGACCGACTTGAAGACAAGGTATCAGCGTCAAAACATCAATCTCAATTCAACACTGCAGTAATGTCTAGTTTCAACATGTTAACTTTTCCTTAACTACACTTACCAGGGACTTGACCATGATTGAAGTATGAGTATGAAATGTAAGCATTTCGATTTTGAAGGTTTGAGAATGACGGCATACCACAGTGAAATATTTGCATCTGTCTGTGTTTTTAGGCTTTGGAGCTGGCAGAAGGCTTCTCAGCTGAAGAGATCCGGAGAGTTTGTTTATCTTTGGCAGCTCAGAGCCGCAGATCTGTGCCGCTGCTCAGAGCCTTGTCCTACCACCTTCTCCAGAAGCCCTCGTCAGATTTCACCACTCCACTGATACTGAACATGGCTTTTGCATACGGTAATAACATTGATTGTTGCATATCCATCAACAATGCATGCATGCATTAAGCAAATTGACAGTGCCAGAATTAGCCAATGTTAATTATATTTAATGTGTAGTACCTGGCCGAGGTTTACAAAAGGCTTCCTGAAACACATCGAAAAAATGGCATGCTAGATAAAAAGCTGCTTAAAATACACCAGAGCACACTTACATGTATATGTAATAACCATTCTGGTAGGTTTTCCACAGTGGAAATAGGGCAATTTCCTAGCATAGTCACATCTTGAATGACCCCCGTGAATATTCCAATATCTACGCTTGTTGTGGTGGCAAATATTCTCAAGAGTAAACAGCTTTATGTTTAGTGCATGTCAGAACAGATGAAAGCACTGTCTGCTCAGTATGATGCCGTATAATGCTAACACAAACCACTTTGTCTTTGCCATTCTGTAGGGAAGTTGAATTTTCACAATTCTCAGTTGTTTCAGCGAATGGCCTCCGAGTTGTTACCCAGAGTCCCTGAGCTCAGCCCTGCTGATGTCACTAGCTGTGCCAAATCACTGGGCTTTCTCAAATGGCTCAACATCCCTCTCTTTGAGGCCTTTGCTGAGGTGAGTCACCTTAGAATAACAGTCGATTTAGAATTGAAGTTAGAATTTTGTTTGACTTTTTTCTCTCAGACTTATCATTGTGTTTCTTTTTTCAGCACTACACAGCAAACGATCAGAACTACACTACTCTCCAACTTAGTAACCTGCTCATGACTTTTGCCAGAGTGAGCTTCCAGACAAACAAAGGAGATGAGTTCTATAGCAAGGTACTCATCCTAACAAATGCTATCTGTTGACTGCTTATTGTCACTTCCACTTATTTCCTGAATTTCTATGATTTGTATGCCATTTTGTGTAAAGGTTCACCCTGCGCTGGAGGGTGCTCTCTCCGGCCTGAAGGCCTTCATGCAGACGGACGTGGTTTGGGCTCTGTGTGTGCTGCAGCAGGCCAATCCCCAGTACATCATCCCCCTCACACAACAGAATCATATTACCAGACTATCAGGTAAAACACACAGCTTTGGGCATTATTTCTTATGTACTTATCTTTTATTTTTAAATATTGAATTTATAAATATGCATATACACGCTTTAAGCTCGGATGTATTTCAACATACATACTGTCAGCCGTTAATATCACCTGCTCCTATGAACTAAGAGAGGCTGTTGAAAGTGTTTTAGGCCCCTGGTACAAATACATAACTATTGATTAGGCCAATGAGTGGGTGACATTATGTTTGAGACCACAGAAATGATTTAACTTGTGAATAAATGTTTTGACATCCTGAAATGTTTTGTCTTCTGTGGGCTGAATACCATTCTGGCTCAGCAGATGGCAGAGCAGCACTGATACATCTAGGGTTAGACAGTCACATTAATCCCATTGTATCGCTGGATGGCGGAATTGCATTGATTAATAAAACATACTTAAAGTGTTTTTGAAAAGCACCGATGTCATTGAGCAGGAAGCACTCATTCTCTTTCTGTTCTCTTTTCTGTCTCTAGAAGGCAGTCCCGCTCGATGGGAGAACTACAAGCTGAAGCTGCTCCACATTGCAGCTACTCTCCAATTGGAGCATCCGGGTTCCTCAGACACGCCGCCCTCCCTGAGTGCCCTGTCTGTCTCGGACAGGAGCTCCCCCCTCTCCCCCCTGCAGAGGAGTCTAAGAGAGACTTTACAGAGTTTAGTGGGTGGGAAAACTGAGGCCCTTCGCACTGGGGTCCAAACTATTTATGGATGGACTATTGGTAAGGGTAGCCCATGCGTCATTACAGACACTTGTTTAGACACATGTTGTGCCGTCAGTCCCTTTTTATTAGTTTCACACTTTTACACTGAACGTAACATTTACAGTTATGTCATTGAATCAGTGAGGTTTTTTACATCTGACATGCCCTTCTCTCACTAGATGGTGAACTGGTCGTGGATTGTGACGACAAGCCAATTGACTTGACGATGCTGAAAGCCCCTCATCTTCACAGTGAAGGAGGAGACAAGGATTTATCTAAAGGGGCACACAGGTTAGTCATAGAGGAGAATCCTGTGGGCTTTGATTGTTGATGTATTTTTATCTTTTTACCTTTTTTAAATGTTGCATCTGCTTTTTATTTGCTGTAGCAGTCTAACGTTTTTTTTGCTCTTTTTTTCACACGTTTTAGGCTTGCTTTCTTGGGTTGGGAATTTCCAAACTTTTGCTCAAAGAGCAAAGACCTCCTAGGACGTTTTGCCATGATGAAGCGGCATCTTCAGTTGGCTGGCTTCAACACAGTGGAGGTAGGGAGTGGCGGTGTTTGTGCATTTTTTTCAAGTAACTCTCTTCTAACCATTCATATATAGGGATGGGTATCGTTAAGGTTTTAACGGTACTGCTACTTTTATCGGTACCGCTTATTGGTCCGGTCCTTTAACGGTACTCTTATCGGTTCTTTTGAAGAAAAAAAAAAAGGTAAACTAACTAAACAAATTGTGAACAAAACTAACATTGCTTTTTATTTAAATTAAATACCGGTACATAATATTTCACATCAAAAGAAACAACAATGTTTTTAACAAATCGTATTAATAATCTGATGACAGAACTGTAAACAGAAGAGCTGAAACTTTAACAAAATAAATAACTCAGTTACCTCTAATCATTAACCCATGTTTCTATAATTGAGTTAACTCTGTGTGTTGCTGCTAGCATACATAACACCTGACGTGGAAACGTTACTCGTGGATGGGGCTACAGAGCTACTAGAAAGACAGTCGAACCCGGTGCATTTCTCAATGCAATTGCATTGTCGAGCATTGTCCACATCGAGACGGGTAAAGTTTAACCACACCTCGGAGCGCGTTCTCTCCACCATCTCCTCCGTGTGTGTGTGTGTTGCTGTATGTAGCAGCTGCGTGTGTGTGTAAACTTCCCCGCCCCCTCGCAAGCAGGCGGGGGAGAGAGATCTCTCGTCTGGATTGGAAAGATCGAAAATACAAAAAATAATCAACGAAGCATTTTGCAGTCTTTTTGCGTATTAGAAACGGAGTTGGCGACACTCAAACGGCAATATAATGTTTGTGTAGCAATAATACATATGATAAAAAGACAGTAACGTCGGAGCTTAACAGTACCAGGGTCTTTAATAATTCAGCCTCGGGGCCCGTTTAATACCGGGGCTCGGTACCCATCCCTATTCATATAGGGTCTTCTGATATAACAAACTCCATAATTCCAAAATAACATTTCTGTTGTGTTTGCTGTGTTATTGAATATTGTTCCAATGAATAGAGACTGAGAAGCAGCACTGCCACTTCTAGATCTGACAGTCGTAGGCTTTGCAAACAATAGACCCAAAGCTTTAGTAGAAATGAGAGTCAGGTGGGTTACGCTGCAGTCTTTTGTATAAATAGAGCTCCTGCCGCATCTCTGTTTCATCTAGGCCAATCCAAGAGCTCTCTGTCATCTAGTACAATCTCCTTAGCCAATAGTGTCTTCACCTGCCTCCTATGTTTGCAATGCTGCAGGATCTGTTATCAGGGCAACTATGTCTACCTGAGACCACGAAAGCAACACTGTATCTGTTTTAAATGCGTCAATAAATATATGACTATAAGGTACATTTTACAAGTGTGTTCTCTTAAGCACTCACTGATAATCGTAAGGTGGTTGCTCAGTAGCTCTTTAAAGAAATGTCTTTAAATTATTCTGTTTGCCCTCTTTCAGGTGCCATATTATGATTGGCAGGAGCTGAACACAGACCGGCAGAAAATGGCATACCTTAAGGATAAAATTGGGAAGGCTGTGGCCGAGGACATGGCCAAGTGAACTCAACAATCATTTTAGCACATTTGCAGACTCAGCTATATAAGAGCTTTCCCAATCAAGTGGGACCACAGAGAATATGTACGCCCACATTCACACTTCGAATGGAGCCGTATTGCAGAAAAGCTCTCATATCTTTTCAGAAAACCAAAATAATATTTTCATTCTGGTTCCCTTGGCAACTTGTGGGGCTTTCCCTGTTTCCATGGTGATGATAAGCAAGAGTTTAGGAGCCAGAGAGAGAGACGGAAATAAAACAACAGCAATGTCCTTCTGTAGGAATGTGATGATCAAGAGAAACAAAAGAGAAACTCCCAGGCCGTTTGTAGAATGTTGGCCAAAATATGGAGTTTATATCAGCATCTGAATAGATTGGAAAACTTGGAAATCTCTGTGAATGTGTGTCATATTGTGAAATAATAAATTGTTTTATTATTATTAGGTTATGTTTTGTCTTTTAATTTTCACATGCATGCCTTGGGTTTAGATTCAGGAAGTTGCCAGATGTGTGTGACATTTTCATAGGGGCACAGTCAGGGGCCTGCTGCAGTTTGTTGTGTTTGGTGTGACATTCAGATCTGTTGTGATCAATTTCACATGTATTCAGCTAGTGGCACACCTCTGGTCTACTGGTGTTTTTGACTGCATCAGTGATATTGGCAAACATTTATTAAATCTGCATACAGTGTTGTGATGAGAGGTTGTCTTCTCAGCTTTGCTAGCGAACTACTGTGATTTTTTTATTGTGCCACTAGGTTATTCTTGTACTGTATATTAGCTCAAAGTATGTTAAAATCACTACATTTTAGCAAGCAAGTTTAGGAGGTGGATAATATTGAACATGTTTCTTGTTTAATTTTCTTCAAGTCCTGTGTACAATTTGATACATTGAAATTGAAAAATAATTAAATATGTTTATGGGCAACAGCCGTATCTTGATGAAACAGCATGGGTACACTTCTCGGATACATATTTTGCTGACCCCTGATGCTGTTTACACAACAACATGGGCAGCAGCACCCTGACATTAGAGTCCGTTTAATGGCAGAGGGAGGAAGACTGGCAAATGCAAGCCGGGGAAAATAACAAACTGAGAGGGAGCCAACGAATAATACAAAGCCAAAGAAGCAAAAGAAGTTAAAGGAAAAAACAAACATGAAAATGAATTGCTGATGAATCATCACATGATCTGGGGCCATTGTACCTACCTCCTTCCTGATAGTTGTGGATTCATAGATCAATTGATTGACTGATGACAAAAAGCTAAGCTAGCACTTCCAGTATTGAACTCCTTGGTCATAGTATATCTCCTGTCTGATAGTATAGCAGGGTGCAGGAACAGCCTGCCTCCTTTTTATAGCTTAATGGTGATGTATTACTACTCAATAAATCAAGTAAACAGTATTTTAATGTGTAACTAAAGATATTGCTCAAATTTACTGTTCCTGCTTTGACTAAAGTTAACGGCAGGTATATTCGTTTACCAAGCTATTAGACATTATCCAACAAAGCAGCACTTCTGCTGAGCTGGCAATTTTATCATGGGAATCATGGGTTTTAGGTTGCCATGGAAACTACCATTGCCGATCATTTAGCACAGTGCTGTCGCCCCCTCTCTCTCTTTTTATGTCTATTTTCCCCTGACTTTTTGATCTATGAAAGTAAATGACATAAGAGAGGGCTGGATATGTGAAGAAGAGCAGAGACAGATGCTGTAGCTCGCCCTTAGGTCTCCATGTTGATTCCTTGGGGATGCAATCAGAGCAGGAGGCAGATGGCACAGTTAGCAGTACACTTCTAGGTTTTGCTTCTGCCCTTTTAATTGTTCATATTTTCTGTTTCTCTTTCTCCATGTTGGTTTTATTTTCCTTGACGCCCCCTCCTTTGCTTGATGTCTCCATTGTCCTCTTGTTTTTGCAGTACTGGTCCTTTCCTTCAAGGTTGAGGGCAGCACTGAGATTACAGCGGAAATCTGCTGACATCATCCCCCAAGATCCAGTCATCGAAGGAGAAGGAGGGGCAGGAAATTGGGAGGGAGGAAGGGAGGAGCTGAAATGTGGTCATGAGGAGAGGATACTGCAGTTCCCCTTCAGAATCTACACACACACATACTGTATATTCAGATGAACTGGATCATGAGACTCTAAAGCAAACGCCCCCATCAGCAGCATCACCGTGCTGCACCACAAATAGAGAGAGATTATACTCCATCTCTCACTCTGTCTATCTCATTCTGTCTCACACAAACACACACACATAGACAGACACGTGCTGCAGGGTAGATCTGAGTGTTGGTTCGCCAAGCATTCCGGTCCCCCCTCCCCTTCGTCTTCTTTCTCCCTCTCCACTCTCACTCTCTCACTCCCTCTTCCATTTCACCTTGTCTGTTCCGGCTCTGTGGTTTATTGTTGCGTCAGAACCAAAGAGAGCCAGCAAGAAGCATGCCGGGTGAGAGCTCTCACAGATCTGTCCCCACCGAGAAACATCCAGAGCAGGGAGCTGAGGAGACGGGGCTCCCTGGACCAGGTAGGACTGGGGTCTGGGGTTGGGGATTGTGAAGGGAGAATGAGGTACTTTAGCATGCAGATGAAGACAGAGACAGGGACATTATTTGTGGAGAGAGGATGAGTGTTGAGCGAGTAGGAAGTGGTAAATAGATTGGTGCAGGAGGGGAGAGAGCTAGCTGGAGAGAAAGGATACTGTGTTGGTGAAAGTAACACACTGTGATGTAAGCACTATCTGCTTGAAACTGTCATGTGGGGTCATTCCTGTCCATCTGTTGACATGTGCAATCTGAGTAAGCTGTGATTCAGCTGCCTGTTAGCCTGCTTACTAAACCGCATGGTCTCCCCCTCCATTTCCCAGCTATTACAGTAGCATCCTTCCCTACACCCAAACTGTAAATCCCTGCCCAACTGTATGTATTATTTTAATCCCTATTAACAAACAACCTCTTATCTAAATGATGGACTTCCAAAAGCCATGTCTATCTGCCCTCTCCCTGCACCTGTCCTCATCAGAACCCCAGGCCCATCTTCCTCCACTAAAACCCTGGGCTCTTTACCCCTAGCCTTCTTCCTGCTGCCCCATCTTTAGCCCTGGGGCCACCCCATCCACATCTTCCCAGCAAATGTGAGAGCTGTAAGCGTAGAGTGGCTCATCCCAGTCCCTTCCCCCAGCCTCAGCAGGAACATGACACAGCAGCATGGCAGCACTCTGTAGGAACCAACAAACGCAACCACACATGCACAAGAGCTTTTGTTACACATCTAATCAGTTATTGCTTGGTTGCTGCGGTGTATCTGACATTGTGAAATCATGAAATAAGTTATTCAATACAAATGAGAGTAGGGAGCTAGATAATGTTGTGTCATTGAAAATGAGATGTTGGGACTTGGTAGGATTGTATTAGTATCCCCTAAATTACAGTCAGAGTGGGATCAACATCATTGGAGCACAGTCTTGTGAATGTTGTGTCTCTTACAGTTAATCTACACAATATAGTTATCATACTGTTGTGAGCAACACGACTCACCGTCTCTTTTTTGCTGGAAATACTTTAAAGTGGGTTGATTTTTTTCTTCTCAAGGATTCCTGCTTTAGCTTCATCATTACCCTGATCTTAATTTAGGCTCAGAATTATTTTAAGCTTTCTTGGCCTGAATTGGGGGGGGAGGGGGGGCGTATAAGAGGATAGTTTATGACTAAAGAACAGGGATCTTATTAAAGGAGAAAAAAAAGCAAATAAGTGTATTAGGCTGTCTCTTCTTCGAGGTTCAATCGGACCATTAGTTGTAATAGAGGCTCCCTTTGGGGCTGGCAGGCCAGCGCTGCAGCCTCTGTGACGCAGCTCCAGTCTGCTCAGCCTGCTGTGGCCTGCTCATTGTACAGCAAGCTAGGTGCTCCATTTCACTGCATCCTCCCAGAGGAGACTTTTAGGTTGGGCCGGAGAGTAGGAAGAGAGTCAGACATCCATATATTATTCGCAGAATTGAATCTGCAGCTAAGAGACAGAGCTATGCTAGCAGAAAAAAAACATCACTGGATTATTTAGCAGCCTAGCAAAACAAAAGCTACAACAGTGCAGTTGTATGTGATTTCATTGCTATATATATAGGGGGAAACAAAATATAGTATTTCTGAATGTGTTCAATAGTAGTTGGTTTGATAAGTTTTCTATAAGTCAGACATTGATAAGTATGTTTTATTGATATGCTTATCTACATTTGGTCACTAAAGCCATGCAGAATGAAAAAACAATTACCCATTTACTACATTAGACTGTGCTGTTCATGTAAGTGTAGTGGCGCTATTGGCTTTGTTGCATGCTATGCATCTTTCTGATTAGGGGCAGGTTTTAGTCTATGATGCATGACTCAGCAAACAAACAAACACACATAGAGTTTATTATTGGGCAGCAATCAGGCAGGGCTGCTAAGTGCTGATGATTGCATCTGCCACCACAACAGGCAGGGCAGAAGAGCACAAGGGAGGAGATATTCTGTGTGCAGAGGAAAAAAGAACATGGAGGCGAGAGCAGGGAGCCGAGTCACAACCAATAGTGAAACAAGGAGAGGCAGCTGCATATTTTTACAGTATATATATACACATATATACCCGATGATGGAAGTATATATTAATGTATACAGAGATAATACGTCAAAGGTTTAGAGAGAAAGGGAGTGAAACAAAGGATGGGATACAGAACAGAGAGTGAATTAGTAAGTGATATCAAGGTTCCTGGCAGAGCGTGTGTGTGTGTGTGTGTGTGTGTGTGTGTGTGTGTGTGTGTGTGTGTGTGTGTGTGTGTGTGTGTGTGTGTGTGTGCGTGTGAAGGCGTGTGTGTGTGTGTGTGTGTGTGAAGGCGTGTGTGTGAGTGAAGGCGTGTGTGTTTGTAACTGGCACAGGGCTGAGCCACTTGTGTGTTGAAATGGCCAATCAGCATGTGGATTGAGGTCACAGTGGCAATGGCCCAGTTGAAAGCGTATGAAGGTTTTGTTCCTTTATGTAGAAACAACTTACATTGCATCCTCAGGGATATTTCAGTGAATGTATAGTTTTGTGTGGTGGTAAATAATCAGGCATTTAAGAATCATGACGGATTAGCAGGGGAACTAAACAAATGAAAAATATGATTTTCTATCTATTTTTTGTTTACTTCTTTTTGCTCATACACTAAACCCCCTCCAATCAACCTTGATCCCGTTTCTTTGATTCACTTAGTCATTTCTCATCTCAGTGATTTCTCCATCCCTGATGACAGTTATGAAGATGATAGCATGGTCTAGTAGGAAAATAGGACGGAGAACGATGTAATTCAACAACAGTTCTTTTTGCCTCTGGCTAATTGTGCAATTGTGTATGTTGATACAGAAAAATATAAACTACGAGAGGTACATTAAGACATTGTCTGTACTGTACAGTAGCATTTTTTTCC